GCACAGGTTAGGTCTATTCGCCTCTACTATTTTACACTTTTTAACTTATGGTGCATCGGCCGGGAAACGTTGCCAGAAAAAATCAATAAGACTTTGATCCTATCCGATTTGATTTCGCCATACCGTACCGTAACCCCTTTCCTTGAAAACAACCAAGCATGCTGAGAACAGCGAAAACACGTCTCACGAAGGCTCGCCGTGCTTTGGAAGAAGCCATCACCGGCGCTCAAGGACTACTCACAGAGATCGAAATGCCGTCAGTCGACGACAGCGAGAACATGGAGTACTTGAAGAAGGGAAGAACGGCAATCGAAGCGACAAGAGCGAAGGTTCAAGCACTAAAAGAATGTGTCAACGAATCTGTCGAGAAGCTCAACACCGCATTTGAAATGTTAGAGGAAGAACAGAAGGAAGCAGAACTGCAGTCTTTCGAAGATCATCTCCAAGTGGCAGTGGAGAACACGAACCAAGCAGACCAATTCTGTGCAAACCTCACCGGAAGAAGAGCAGAGATCGAACAGCTCATGTCTGACCTCCAACCAGCTAGGAATGAAGAAAGAAGCAATGTGCTGGAACGAAGTTACCATTCCACGCCAACTGTGCCAGCACTTGCTCCAGTAATTCCGACGTATCTACCGCGATTAGAAATACCTAAATTTGCGGGAAGAAAAGCTGAGTGGGACAACTTTTGGACTATCTTTTCTGCAAACATCCACGAGCAAGATATCAGCCCAATGCTGAAATTCAACTACTTGTGGCAATACTTGGAAGGAGACGCAAGAGAACTCGTCTCGAAATACCAAGTATCCGCAGAAAACTATCCGGAAGTAGTGGCCTGTCTCACGAACAAATACGGAGACAGCGATTCAAGAGTTGAAGATCTTCTAGCCGAACTTCAGAAATGCAAAGCGGAAGGAAAGAATACAAAGTCTCAGATACAACTGTTGGATAGAATCACAGCGATGATGAATCAACTGGCCATCAAAGGTCANGAAGTGAATCAAAGAATACTGTTGAACATCATCTTCAGTAAATTTGATGAAGATATCCAGACACGAACTCTCGAAAAACGAGCCGATCTGGATAATCCAAAGGATTGGACATGGGCAAAAATGCAAAAAGAGCTTAGCGGCATACTCCAGCGAAGAGAATATGTCGAACAAACTCGAAGCAAGATAAGTGCAATCGAGGACAGCTCAGCATCAAGAAGGCCCAGTCAACCAATCCGTGACTACAGATTTGCATGCATTTACTGCAAGCGGCTTGGTCACCAACCTGCCGACTGCCTCACAATCAAACAGCCAGAAAGAATTCCTTTCCTGACAAGAAACAGGCTGTGCCTCAATTGTGCCAAGCCGTTCCATACAGCAAGCAGATGCCGGAGCCCTCCTTGCAAGAAATGCGGGCAGATGCATCATGTATCGCTGTGTACTACCTTTAGCAGTCCGCAGCAGTACCGAAATCCGCAAGACAGTCGAGCAAATGTAGCAAGCTCTACTCTGCCTGTGGTCCATCAGCGTACACGGCAACCAGCTCAGGCTATCAGGAGTGCGCCGTCAAAGAAAATGACAAAAACCACTCCAACAGTCAACCAGAATGCAGTCAACCTGAAACCACTCGACACTACTTTGATGTTCGAGAAAAAGAGGAGGGTTCGTCACGCCGTTGACAAAGACAACATGGCAGAGACCTTACTTCTGACAGGGACAGCGACCATTCTGGGAAAGAAGGGCTCAAAGGAAGTCAGAATTTTGCTGGATACGGGAGCGGAAGCCTCGTTTATCGACAAAGGTCTTGTGGAAGAACTACAACTGCCGATTCTCAAAACATCAAAGCTTTGTTTGAAGATGTTCGGCTCTAACGAAGCAGTTGAAAATCGACACAGAGTAGTAAAAGTCAAACTACTCGACAAGAGCGACAATGTACACACCTTCCTTTTATTCGACAGTCCCATATTGACGGCTCATGCAACCACAGCTAAACTGTCAAAGGAAGATCTGGAGGAAATAAAGCACAAGCGCATTCAACTTTCGAGCGATTTGAATGACCAGCAATGCAAGCCACAGATACTTCTAGGCTGTGACTATCTTTGGGATGTTATGGAGCAGGAGAAACAAATGCTACCCTCTGGACTGTATCTGATATCAACCAAATTCGGGTACATGATATCCGGGAAGCAATATGGGCGTAATGAGTCAAGCACCATCCAGCCGTCTCAACCAGAAGACGTAAATCAAGAGTTGAAGAAGTTTGATGAATACTGGGGATTCGACTCATCAGGAGTGAACGAATACACAGGCCCAGAGAAAACTGAGAAGCAACTCACAAATGAAGAAGTTGCAAGACATTTTAAAGAAACTATTGAAAAACGTGCAGATGGCTACTACGTCCACTTACCATGGAAAGAAGGAAAAGAACTTCTACCAACAAATAAATCCATAGCATTCAAACGACTGCAAGGTTCTCTCCTCCAGTTGAGAAAAAATCCAGAACTTCTTGCAGAATACGATGAAATCATCAAAGATCAACTCGAAAAAGGAATCATCGAGCCAGTATGTGACAATAAGAGAAAGCACAGCACTATTTTACACTACCTACCTCATCAGGCAGTGGTTACACCGAACAAACCGACGACAAAATTAAGAATAGTATTTGATGCCTCTGCTCATTATGTCGGGAAACCATCCTTGAATGACGCACTGCATCAAGGACCGCTCTTTTTACCGAAGATCGTCGGAATGATGCAGAGATTCCGAATCGGAAAGACTGCATTATCAGCAGACGTAGAAAAAGCGTTTCTGCAGGTTCATCTACACGAGGACGATAGAGATGCTACTAGATTTCTATGGCTGCATGACACTTCCAAACCACCCAGTGACGAAAATCTGGTGGAGTACCGATTCACAAGAATCACTTTCGGGTTAAACGCTTCCCCATTCCTTCTTGCTGCAACAATCAGATTTCATCTGGAAACAGCGGATATAGATCAGGAGTTCGCCAATGAGCTCAATGACAACCTTTATGTCGACAATTTGCTTATATGTGCAGAATCGGCAAAGGAAGGCATCGAGAAATATACACGGGCAAAGAAAATCTTCAATGAACTCAATATGAATCTCCGCGAGTTCATATCAAATGACAAGAAAGTCAACCAGTTCATCAAAAAAGAAGACAAGGCGAAAGAAGATTTACCGAAAGTGTTAGGGATTCAGTGGAATACAGTGTCAGATACGCTAGAAATCAAATGCAACATGCCAAATCCGGCAGAAATAACGAAGCGATCAGTCCTCCAGGCGAATGCTTCAGTTTACGATCCAATGGGTTGGTTGAACCCACTTCTAATAAAAAACAAGGTCTTCTTCCAATCACTATGGAGAAAGGATTATTCATGGGATGACCCATTAAATACAGAAGACCAACAAGAATGGAGCAGCCTACACGATAATATCTTAGGGTTCTCGAAAGAAATTCCTAGAAGAGTGGCCAACAAACAGCAGAACAATATACTAGTATTATTCAGCGATGCAAGTAATGTCGCGATGGCCACTTGTGCGTACCTTTGCCATGGCAATGAACAAAACCTTTTGATCTCAAAAAGCAAATTGCCAAAAGTAAAGGAAAAGCACACGGTCCCTAAGCTAGAGCTGAACGCTTTGACGCTATCAGCACGCTTAGCCAAATCCACAGTAGAAGAACTTCAGTCATCAGTCAACGTCAACGAAGTCTATCTGCTCTCGGATTCAGAAATTGCCCTCAGATGGGTAAAAAACGCCAATGATACCAAACAATTGGGCGTTTTAGCTGCAAACCGCGTAAAAGAAATTGCGCGTATTGTACAATGGCTAAACGTGCACGGAATACGTGTTTCATTCGGGTATGTCAGAACAATGATAAACCCAGCCGACTGCGCAACAAGAGGTTTGACAGCAGAAGAGCTAAAACAGCATTACTGGTGGAAAGGGCCCAGCTTTCTGCAAAAGAAGCCTAGCGAATGGCCAGCTGAAACACGACTATTTCAACTACCCTTGCAAGATGTGAATATAAACGTCGTGCAACTTGTCAATTCGTGGATTGACTGGGAGCGATTCAGCACATATAAGAAACTCGTTCGAGTAGTAGCATGGTCAATGCGTTTTCTTAGGAAAATTGCGAGGAAGTTACCTTCGGATTCAAGGAATCGCATCCAAAACTCTATTCCCGAACTAAAAGAAGTACAGAGCACAAATCCACTTAATGCTGAAGAACTGAAGCTATCCCAAATAATACTCATAAAAGTACATCAACATCAGTACACAGAGAAAATATCATCTCCAGTGTACAGGAAATTGAATATTCAACGGGATGCTGACGGAATTTGGAGATGCCATGGAAGGCTGGGTAAAAGTGATCTAACTGAGAACTCGAAAATACCCATCTTCGTGGTACCCAACTCCAAACTCGCTCATTTAATAATACAACATACTCACGGCACAATGCACCTTTCAACATCTCATACAATGGCGGAAATTCGGACCAAATACTGGATTCCGAAGCTGCGACAACAAGTAACAAAGACGATAAGAAAGTGCGTCACATGCCAAAAAATCAACAACCTACCTTACCGTTACCCCAAGATGAAAGAATTGCCACAAAGAAGGGTAACAGAATCGAGGCCATTTGAACATGTTGGACTCGACTATTTTGGGCCACTGAAGGTCAAAACACAGACGGGAGAATTAACTAAAGTCTACGGTTGCATCCTGACGTGCGCCACAACAAGGTTGATACACCTCGAGCTTGTCACTGACAACACAACAATTGCATTCGTCAATGCCATGAGGCGATTTATAGCTCGAAGAGGAGTACCAGCTTCAATTACTAGCGACAATGCGCCCACATTCGTTCTGGGGGGAGAAGTCATGGCTGACAGTCTAAAAAACGCTCGTGATTCGGAAGAGGTTGGCAAGTTCATGGCAGATCAATCCATCGAATGGATCAAAATTACTCCCTACGCGCCGTGGCAGGGCGGCTTCTATGAGCGTTTAATTCAGTCGGTCAAACGTTGCCTCTACAAAGCTAAAGGACGACAGATCCTGGATGAAGACTCATTGAGAACAGTAATAACGGAAATAGAAAGCTGTCTCAACAGCAGACCGCTCACTTATCAAGAAGCCGATTGGGAAGAAAATCCATGTTTGAGGCCGATTGATTTCATTCAGAACAGAATGAATATAACTTACCCCATGGATCCAATACCGAGCGAAGAAATAGAAGACGATTCTTACTTACCTTCGGAGCAAAAAGTGATGTTAAGAACACGACTCGAGACCCAAAAGGCGCTCAAGAGTTCCTGCGACATGACGAACAAATTCTGGGAGATTTGGAGAAAACATTATATAACGTCGCTTCGCGAACATCACCAAAACATGCTTTCACAAGGAAAGACGACAAACATGCTGCCAAAGCTGGGAGCGGTAGTGCTGGTTCAAGAAGAACTCCAGCCTAGAAACCAATGGAAGTTAGGACGGATCACCCGTTTGTTTAGGGACAAACAGAGGGAAGTCCGAGAGGTAGAGTTGTTCACGGGTCAGAAGAATAACATCAGACGACCTATAAATCTACTCGTACCTTTGGAGCTCGATGACCCGGATGAACCTCAACCACAAAAAATACCGACGCATACCACACAAATGGAAAAGAAACATTCTTATAATTTGAGGCCAAGAAAACCACTACCAACTCTGAATACTAATGTCATTACAAAAGAGCAAAAGAATATTTTTAAAGAAAACATATTTGAAAATTCTTGGACTAATGAATCTGTTTCTAGCATGGACGACCACGTGACTGATGTTAAGAAGCTCCTCCAGCAGATGGCCTTGCGCCCAAGAGCAGTAATAAATGACAAAACACTACAAGAGCAAATTTTAGCGGTAAACCACGAAATCGACCGCATCCTGAAAAACAGTGAGGAGACTATTGCTAAATATCACGAAATGGAGTCGAACTTTATAACGGCGCCAACATCTTCGGAAAAGGCGTATAACAAAAGAAGAAATGTCGATCAACGGTTAACCGAATTGCAAGACAAACTTCGATGTGCCGGCTATATCTCGGATCTTTTGTGGGATACGTACGACGAAATGGTTAAAGCGAAAGTGGCGATGCTCTCTAAAAAAGAGCATTTCCAGAACAAAACCTTCGATGGCGGTCGTCCACTCGATAGGATATCAACGAAGGTTTATATCACTTCAGAGCTGCGGTCCATCTCAAATGTCATCTCTGAGATTCGCGGTCAAAGGTATGCCCCTTGGGCACGAAAGGAGCAGGAAACAGTGGTCGATTACATCAAATGCCTCCAAGAACAAATGAACCACCTCTGCGTAAGGGAAAGCAGCGAAAGCTGCAAAGAAGCAGCCGGCGGTGAAGAGGGTCAAGGTTCCGCCAAACAAATGGAAAAGTTCCTCAAGAAGACCAAGGAGATTTCGAGTAAGATCAAGGAATTTGATTCAAAGATAACGACATGGCACGCGGAAGAGAGCACCAGGCTCGAGGCTCTTAGCAGCAGCATAGAAAGCTTCCAAAAAAGGATGGAGGAAAAACTGGATGAAGCTCTGAAGAGCATGCAACAGCATGTGGTGGATGTCATGGAGCAAAACACTAAGGAGGTCCGAATGTTTATGGAGAAGAACCAGACACCCCCTCCTGAGGACATCCTCACATTGCTCGAGGACGATATGGAAGTCAATCAGATGCAAACTCCGCCACCAAGTAAGGGACCAAGTAAAGAGCAGACGCCAGAAGAGCCTGAGCAGGGCAAAGAAGAGGCGGAATCTAGCACAAGGATGACTCGGAAGGAACGCGAGTTCGCGTCGGACGGAGCCATTCCACATCGCCCCTCAAAGATGGCAAAAATAATGAAAGAGAAGATACCTTTCGCGGTATCCCAGGCAAAGTCACGCCTGAAGCATTTGAGGGAGTGCCAGCCGAGGAAGATAGGCAACTCGAAATCGACACTGTGCACATCTGGGGCCCGCGTAGTTGTATGCGGGTTTTGCCGCCAACGAGGAAGGCACTCTACCGATGCCTGTCCTACGTTTCCAAACGTAAAGGAAAGACGGGAGCTGATCAAGGGCGAAAGAATGTGCCGCCTTTGCTTGAAGGTGCACTGCGACGAACGGTGTAGGACGAGTATCAGATGCGGGTACTGTGGAGATAAAACGCACCACGAATCTCTGTGCGCCCTTCCCGAGGAACGCCAAGAACTGATTGGGGTCCTCAACGAGTACGACAATCGTCGTTGGCGGGAGTGTGCGGAAAAGTTACCGCACTTTTGAGCGAGTCATGCGGCCGGGTCTTTAGGGGATGTGTTATAAAAATGTAAATATATTGCGAAAGACTGTATACTGTAGCTTTTGTCTATGATCTCTTATGATTAACCAGTACTATGCTTTTTGTCTAGGATCTCATATGATCTCTTGGATTAGAGACATCCATCAGAAGCAAAAGTTGAGCTCCTAAGTTTCGCCTTATATGTTATATACTGTTCGAATTCGATAGAGATGATTCACATTCCTCATCACCTATTCACTTACTATCGCATATTATATACTTCGTTATCGATATAATCACTCCGCGATAAACAGTTGTATTAACGAAGTTTTAAAGTGTACCTCACCTGGACGGTTAAGTCCTTAACTACCTGTGCTCAGTAATTCCGCTCATTAGTTGTTCAATTCTATTGCAGTTTTGAGTCAAGAAGATCGAAGTGTGAGCGTACTCCGCCAAATCAGCGGGAAGAATTATTGTTCATCGAAGACGCTGCTGTATTCGGAGTTGGTCTAATACCAAAAAAGAAGACTTCGGCAGGTAACCCAGAAGAGGGTGAACGAAAGGAC